ATACCCCTAGCATCTCCCAAAAAACATAGTTGACTTAAGTGAATTTACACTACTGTATTTAAAATGAGTTGTTTGTATGAAAGCCACATTTTACTTTTTTTCATGAACTCAAGTCTAACATACAATGTCAGACTACTTTGTAAAAAGAGGTATTCTTAACTTTATATAGATAACTATGACAATAAAAACTGTATTCAGATATGACACAAACTACTATTAATAGATTACTGTTTCTTAAATCTTCTTTGCCAGTTGTCATCTTAGGGACAGAGGAAAACACACAATAATCTGTTTTTTTAAATATTGTTTTTTTCAAAAGTAGTTATGGTGCTACATGATATGCTTGTGTGCGTGATATCATATGATGTTATGGTCTAGTGAGTTCGTCTATATGTGTGATCGAATGTTAGATAATAATAATAATAATAATAATAATAATAATAATAATAATAATAATAGTATAGTCTTTGTATTTTAGTCAGCTTCTATTTTTTATTCATGTTCTTAGCTGAAATTATAATCTCCATTAAATATACTATGTCATGTATTATATTATTTCTTAAGTAATATAATTATTCCATCATTCAATATGTTTGAATACTAAATTAAGTTTCCGCATTGGTTTTAAATTGCTCCGATTGATATTAAAATAAATTTTTTGAATTAAACATGTTAAATTATGTATTAGAAAATTTTCATGTTGGGGTGCCAATCAAGTGGAAACCCAGCTCGCTAATTTATGTATTCAGATTATGCGAGTTGAGGTGTTACAATGATACAAGACTATATTTAGTTATTTACCATTCTTATTATATTACTATTATTATTATTTATGGTTATATAATTTCATTATTATTAGGAAGTATTATTATATTAGGTTATTAGTATTTTAATTTATTTAGTTACCTTTTATGGCTAGGACTCTTTAGATCAACCATCTATATATGTAGCCATTATGCATGAGTTTATTATTCAATCAATAAAGAGATATTTCCATAACCCTAAAGTCCCTCTCTCCTTCTCACTGATCAACGGCTGTCTTCCCCTCTCCCTTTTTAGTCTCTTCTTTTTTCTCAATTCTATAGCTCGAAGGTGCTCAACCTTCCTTATCCCGATACGATACCGTATCAATTGGTGCTCTCATTGTTGAACTCACCCCAAAAAGAACTCAATTGACCATATCTGCTTCTCCACCACCATATTAATTCGAGATCAGTTGAAGCGCTGCAATTTTGTTTCCATCAATTTGGTGCCAGGGCCGGTCCAAAGAAAAAATAGGCCCTGTGCGAAAACAAAAAGTTGGCCTCTATTGACTATCATATATGATAAAAGTTAAATTTAAAGAAGTTTCATACTAATTATTGAATTTTTTATAATGAGGAAGAAAACATCACTACCAGTTTACATAAAAAGAGACATTCTCTTTGCACATAAAAACAGACATTCTCTCTGGGACATTGTAAGTTCTTCAAATCTCTTTTTCTTTTTACGTTTTTCATAGCCTGAGACCCGTTTTGTAGGAACCATTCTACAAGTGTAGTATAAAAATATTATGAGAACCATGTAGTGGGTTTATTTATATTCTGATAAAAAAACACCCAGGCAGTGACAAATAGAATTTTTTAGAGAATCCTAAAATCTCAAATTGGCTAAATTGCTAAAGTGCTTAATCATTTGATGATTTTGAAACAATTAGCAAAAAAAACTTTTAAAAGAAGAAAAATTAAAAAAAAACTGTTTTTTTATCAAATTATAATTTATTAATCATTGTAATTAAAAATCAAATTTCATAAAAGTATTCAACTATAGAAGATGAAAACATAGATTGCACATTTAAAAACTAAAAAAAATAAAATTAAGGATTTGATCATTAAAATCAATAAATCAAAATAAATCATACCTGAAGACTAAAGTGTAATTAGCGGATGGAGAAGTGCTGGACGGCGTAGATGTGAGGCGACCACGCGGCGCAAATCTTAGACCTTCCACTTTCGTTCTTCACTTCTTCCGGTTCTCTTTGTGGCGATGTGAGGCGAGGCGTAGATGTGAAGAGTTTTCTCCATATTTTTTTTGCCATTTTGGGCCTATAATTACATACTAGTATACTACTATCTCTAAAAAAATAATTGGGCCCTGGTCTTTTTTGGGCCCTGTGCGGTTGAACATCCTGCACAGGCCCAAGGCCGCCCCTGTTTGGTGCCAAAAGTTGTTGTCCGTGCATTTTTTTTACCACAAATTATTTCTTGTGTGTGCTAAGAATTGAGTTTGGTTATCAATTTGGGTTGGAACCCTGCCGCTACCAAACCCTTTTTGGCCGCACACTAACGCAGGAAAAATTACTATGATGCCTATCTCCATGGAAACAGTGATGTAGGCACTCCAGGATTTGAGGCTAGAAGTGCACGACACCAATAAAATGCTTGATGCTTTAGTTGCGACGGTTCACGATGATAGAACTGACCCACTTGGTGAACACGTCGGATATTTGCCCGACACACGTTGGCGTCCCCCACCATCATGCACAATGCACCGCAGTGAAATACCAGATCGCCTACCACAACACTGCTTCGATCCACCATGCATTCACGAGGACGAACCCGACCCAGGATTTGTGACGTGGTTTCACAGGGTTACAGGCTTTTGTCACGATGCATGTATATCAATGCTTGAACAGGCAAACAAAGGCGCGAGCAGGAACCGACTGAAGTAATTCAGTCATTCGTAGCGGAGGAAAATTTTGTTGATCATGTAAGTGTTCCCGATGATTTTACTATTGATCCCATAGATGTTATTCCTGTACCTGTTGCTGATGTTGTTGTTGATGTTTCTTGTGACGATCAAAGAGACCACACTGTCCAAGCAAAATATTCAAGAGATGGTGTCATTTTTTATGGATGCACAGAAAAATTTGGGACATCAGAAACTGACATTGTTGTCCGTTATAATTCTGAGGATGTTTTACGTGATTGCATACTATTCCTACTCTTGGTTGCCCGGAACTGTTTACTTGACACTGGGAATGTTTTAGGCATGACTCGTTCTTTTGGTTCTCCAAGGATCGAGGTGTTTGCCCCCGGAGGATGGACGATGAACGGTGCAATTTTTTCTCGTTCTTTATTTGATTTCCAACTTGAGGACAAGTTGGTTTTCGAGGCGGGAAGAATGATACATGACTATATTTAGTTATTTACCATTCTTATTATATTACTATTATTATTATTTATGGTTAGATAATTTCATTATTATTAGGAAGTATTATTATATTAGGTTATTAGTATTTTAATTTATTTAGTTACCTTTTATGGCTAGGACTCTTTAGATCAACCATCTATATATGTAGCCATTATGCATGAGTTTATTATTCAATCAATAAAGAGATATTTCCATAACTCTAAACTCTCTCTCCCCCTCTCGCCGATCAACGGCCGTCTTCCTATCTCCCTTCTTTGTCTCTTCTTTTTTCTCAATTCTATAGCTCGAAGATGCTCAACCTTCCTTATCCCGATACGATACCGTATCAATTGGTGCTTTCATCGAGGCGGCCGGAAGACGACCGTTGATCGGCGAGAGGAAGAAGGGAGTTTAGGGTTATGGAAATATGTCTTTATTGATTGAATAATAAACTCATGCATAATGGCTACATATATAGATGGTTGATCTAAAGAGTCCTAACCATAAAAGATAACTAAATAAATTAAAATACTAATAACCTAATATAATAATACCTCTAATAATAATGAAATTATCTAACCATAAATAATAATAATAGTAATATAATAAGAATGGTAAATAACTAAATATAGTCCTGTAAAATACACGAAAGAAGAAAAAGACTGATTTTAAGAAGAAAAAGACCAACATATAGGTATAATTTTTTAGGGATATGCTAGGGTACACCAAAAGTGTATCCAAATGTACACCACATGCCTCTTTATCATTTATTTTTATTTGGTCTTTATTTATTAATTTTTTTTTAAAATTTTACATGTAAATTTTTGTGGTTATGTAGGGGGTGGGAATATTTGGGGTACACCTTTGGCGTACCGTACCCTTAGCATATTCAACAAAATATCAAATCCAAACACTATCTTCTTCTTCCTTCCTCTCCTTCATAACCCTCTCGATCTTGGGCCCTTTTGTCCAAGCATACCCTTAAAATTCTTCTTTAGTAAAAAAAAAAAAGAATTCTCATATCTCTGAATATCATAAATCTTTTAAATGAAAGAGTTTCGATATCATCCAAATTCTAGAGCAATCAGTATAGAGTTTGATATTTCCATCAATCGTTGATTATTCACTGTCAACGATTATCATTGACACCGTCGATCGACCTGTTTTTTGTCAATCTATTTTTACTTGTTAAACACTTGTATTCCAGATTTCAAAACTTATATTCCCTCTGTCTCAGAAAGAATGCCACAGTTACTATTTTGGCCTCTCGATAACTTTTGTTTCTTTACTCGTTTTGGTTGACCATTTGATAAAATAAAATATTTTTGTCGCATCTTGTTTTGTAGAACTTTTCATATACTTTTGAATGGTGTAATTTTTACTTTTTATTATTCTACCAATTTGAAAATATAATGATTTTTAAAAGAGATGATATTTTGCACGTCGTTCGAAATATTGCAAATAACACTAAAATTTAAATCATTACTCTAAATGACACTTAAATTGTTTTATTTTCTAAATAGCACTTAATAATGTCTATAATGGCGAATATTTACTTGAATAATGACTAATAGATAATGACTAAAAGAACTACACTGAGAAAAAAAACACATTTGATACTATTTAGAAAAAATATTACAAAGTATATTTAAGTGTTATTTATGAAAACTCAAAAAAGGAAGCGCATTAATTACATGACCCGCCGCCGTTTGCCCACCCATATGGCCATATTGGCTTGGAATTATGGTGCGGTAAAGCCACGTTCATGTCCTGTCTGCATGGCACGTAGCTGCATATGCCTCCATACTGGACGACACGTATACCAGTGCGTTATTCATGCTCCTTCTACGCACTAGCTCCCAGTTTCTCCTTCGATCGGTTTCACTATCATAGATTGGATCATCTTCGATCTTCATTCTTTCAAACAAAAATATTTCAAAGTACTGTACGTATTAGCTGGGCATGGTGAAATTAGCGTCGGCGAGAGATTGCCGGACTTACGGGCCGGGCTCGTCCGGTAAGAGATCGGAGTACATGAACGCCGGCCTGTACGTGTTCTCCACCATTGTTCTGCTTTGTGGGTTCGCGGCCGAGCTGTCGCGGGAGCCCAAATCCGGCCTCGTTCTCCTCCTCATAGCCCTGCTGCTCGTGGCGGCCGTGAATCTCCACGACCTTCTCGCCCACCTCGCCGGCATCAATTACCGGCTCTGGCTCTTTGGGTATGATCTCCAGCTCGCCCTGGTCGAGTTCGCTGCCCCGCTGCTTCATATACTCGGCTGCATTTGCTCTTTCCTTGGAATTCTTTTCCTTTTCATTGAGGTGTGTATGTACTCTCTCCCTCCAGATCTTTCCACTTGGCCTTTTTTTCATAAAGTGTACAAACTTTGACTTTGATATACTACCTTCTACCTTCGTCCCAGTGTATTTGTTCAGTTTGACTTTTTCGAGTCAAATTGTACAAACTATGAACTCCAATTACTTTCAATTTATATTGCATACTAGCATAATGAAATACTCTCTCCGTCCCTAAATAAACTTTCGTTTTTGACTTTTTGAGGATTTAAGGGAGGGATATTTTTGTGTTGATTTTCCAAAAATACCCTTGATGTGATGTGTAAAAGTAAGATGTGATATGTAGATTATTAGTAAAAAGGTATGATGTGATAGGTATGGTATGAAAAAGTAAGGGTAGAGTTTTTTAAGGGAAAAGAGAAGTTTATTTGGGGACAAAGAAAAAACGAAAGAGGAAGTTTATTTAGGGACGGAGGGAGTACAATTTTAAAAGTTCTTTGATAAATCTAATAAAATTATTTTTATGTTAAAATACATTACGGTTTTTATTTAATTGAAGCTCAAAGTTTCTCTAGTTTGACTTGAAAAAGTCAAACTGGACAAATACGAGAGAGTATTAAAAAATACACAATGTTAGAGATATGGAGTTAATGGGGATGCAGGCAGAAAAAGGAAACAATGATCATCATGATCATGCAATAAACTTGTTGATAGCCGGGCCGGCGCTCTGGGTATTGGGTTCAATCCTCAACTCATGCCAGATATACGAGAGAGCAGGCGGCCACCTTCAGCTACTTCAGCAGGGCGTCCACGTTCCGTTCTTGATGGCCAGTTTGTTGTTTCTAGTGGCATCCTTTCTCATGTCCCCAGACACCCCAGCCCGCCACGAGCACGATGGCAGGCCCCACCACCGCTTACTCGGCGGGACGTGGGTGTGGTTGGGCATATTTGGGAGCTTGCTGCTCTTCGTTGGCGGTTTGGCCAACGTCGTCAAAGTGTTCAACATGCAGCAGAGAGACGATGGGGGGACGACGGTGATGAGGCTGGAGAAACTAAGGGGCGGGGCGCAAGAGCAATTGTTGGCAATGAATCTTGAATCAGACGGCCGCGGTGGGTTGCCTTTTATTGTTAGGGAGGACGACGGCGAGGAGAGGTGGAGGAAAAACCGGCACTCCGTTGAGGAGGGGGGCCAACCGGCGGTATCGAATCCCACTCCGACTCCATACAAAGACGTTCTTGTTGGTCAAGTGTGATCGAACACCCATACATTTTCTACATCCCTTTGCTCACTTTCTCTGCCTTCTTAAATCCCTCCATTGCAACAAAATGTTAACATTTAACAAAACAAATGAGATAATTCTATAGGGTCAAAATAGAACCTAGTTTACCAAAACATGCATGGTTCATTCTTAATATTAATAAGAAATATGTACACTTCCCTATATAGCACTTGAACTGTTTTATTCCCTAAATAACACTTAATAATGTCCAGTAATGGCGAACATTTACTTGAATAATGACTTATGGATAATGACTAAAAGTGATACATTGAGAAAAAAATACATGTGATGCTATTTAGGGAAATTATTACTCCCTCCATCTCTAAATAAACTTCCGTTTTTGACTTTTTGAGAATTTAAGAGAGGAATATTTTTGTGTTGACTTTCCAAAAATATTTTTAATGTGATGTGTAAAAGTAAGATGTGATTTGTAGATTATTAGTAAAAAGGTATGATGTGATGGTAGGGTATGAAAAAGTAAGGGATAAAAGAGGTTTTTTAAGGGAAAAGAGAAATTTATTTGGCGACAAAAAAAAGAGAAAGTTTATTTAGGGACAGAGGAAGTATGTTTTGGTGGTATTTACGTAAATTCCCCTGTTAGTGAACAATGAACCATGTTTGACCTATATAATGGCAACACAACATAGAGTTTTCACAAAAAGAAATATGGGAGTACAAGAGATAAACAGAGATGTTTGTGTGTATATGATTAGGAACCCAAAATACAATTGAAGGTTCTCCCAATAAATCTCTGGTACTAAATAAAGTTTCATATCTTTCCAGCCAAACTTCAGTGATAGCATAGTTTACTTTAACACATACTAGTCCATGCACGGGCAAAAAAAATTACCATTACCAAATTTTTAAGAAGGAAATGTAAAGAAGTGTTGATGTCACACAAGCATAATATACTCATATAATAAGTGATTTAAGTAATTTGTCACTCGTCTTTTTCGATGCTAATAATTTAATTGAAAAGTCAAATTATAAAAATAAATTCTACAAAACTCAAAACAGGAACTGTTTTGAAGAACGGGGGAGTAGCAAAAAAAGAACATGCATAACAAAGAACAGGGCAAAATGTTGTTTGATCTAAAGAGTTGTGGCTACAAAAAGCTATGGGGTTAAAACGATTAGGAGTATGAAATCAAACTCTTGCCACCTTCAAGAATAGCAGGACATTTTTTTTATCTCCATACATTTTTATGCTCCAAGAATAAGTCAACTAACCCAAAGAACCCATTAACACAAACAAGTTACAACCCTAAAAGGCAAATAGACGATGCTCATCAATAAAAAAATAGGACTACTTTCAAGAAAGAACCAAATTCTCAATTTTTATAGCCACATTACTCATTTCCATCTCCATTATTTATGCATCCGAAAATGACTATTCTATTTCCACTCTGCTTCTAACCCTGAAACAATGAATAAAACAGGGATTGTTAAAAGCCAAAACCATCATTGCTTATGAGTTATGAGCAACCAAAGACTTTCAAAAGTTGAAACTATAATCCTGCGTTCAAAAATAGACATAATAAACAGTGAATTCAATTAAACAAATAACATTAAGAGCTTGTTTTTTTCAACTTATTCTTATTCGTTATTACTAATTACTTATTTTTATTTGAATCGGACCGTATCAAATCAAAGCAGATAAGATCAAAAACAGTATTAAACATTAAATATATAACTACAATCAGACCGATCAGGAGAAGAGAACAAGCTCTAAATCAGGGCTCAGGTCTACACTTCAATCGGGAATTGTTTCGAGGAGTGAGCCATTTATATTCTAGGATTGAAAAAAAAACATATATGTAACCCTCCCTGGATAACCTATATGTAGCAAGGATTCTAGTGATGAAGGTACATTGAAGAAGCACTTAGCCACTTACAGATCGGGATCATTCATTGTTGGAGGATCCACAATGCATTCCTGCTAAAAGGAGTAAAAAGTAATTAAAATGATACTCCGTATAAGAGAAAGATCATTTTAGCTCAAAACAAAACTTTCAATTCTCAAGCATATTTTCAGACCATTATATTGATTGGGATACACCCTATCAGCTTGCTATTTGTTTCCCCCATAACCAAAAAACTCATACCAAACAGTCATGCAATTACATTAAATACGTCTATAGTACTCAGAGGGTGTTTGGGAGTGTGGTGAGTTATGTATAAGTAGAAGTCATAATTTAGAAGCAGAAAACATGTATTTGTAGCTTTGCTAGAAAGCACTTCTAGACCTTAATTTTAACTTCTAAAGCCATAATTTATAAGCTAACGCAGATTAGCAAACATTTAAAATTGTGTTTTAATAAAGTAAAAGCTATAAGTTATTTTCAAATACAATCCCAAACACCCTCTCAATCGGTTCAAAAAATTCTTTCCCAGTTTTACTTGACACGAAGATTAAAAAAATTTAAAAAGTGTAAAATCTTTCCATGTATTGCTCTTGAAGTGATGGAATAAAGTGAATAATATACTCTCACTGTCCCATAAAACCTTTCTCCTTTCTTTTTTCATCCGTACCATAAAAAACTTCTCATTTCTATTAAAAAGTCACTTTTACCCCTTACTTTTTCATACTCTACCTATCACATCATACCTTTTTACCAATAATCTACCCATCAAATCTTACTTTTACCCATAACATCAAAGGACATTTTTGGAAATTCAATACCAAAATACACTTCCTTAAATCTCTTCAAAAAGCAAATCATCCCATGTTTCATGGGACGGAGGGAGTAGATAAAAAGTGGGGTATAATGACTCATTCATTTAAAGTTGTTTGCCAAAATAGGAAACGGAAAAAAAATTGGACGGCCCAAAAAGGAAAGTGAGAAAAAAAATCAATGGACCAAGAATAAATCATAAAATTTGACAAATGACAAATTATTGAAGAAGATGAGCAATGATATAAAATAATGGAACATAAGTACTCCAGAAGTTGAAAATGGGAAAAATAATACATTGACTGAGAGAGATAAAAATCAAAAGGAATTAACATCTATTTAATTGATGTATTTTTTTAAGGAAACAATTTAATTGTATATTTGTATTGAAGTGAAAAACCTGCAAACAGTTTATATGCTACAGTATTACGCTTAGCTTCTACTCTCTCCGTCCCAAAAAGTTTTTCCTGTTTCATTTTTTGCGCATCCCATAAAACACTTCTATCCCGCCTTGAATGCCAAAAAAACTTTCAAAATAACTTCTACCCACAATAAAGAAGAAATGTTGTAAATTTTAGGCACTTTAGATGTCGTTAGAAGTGTTTTATAAGATGCGCAAAAAATGAAACAGGAAAGACTTTTTGGGACGGAGAGAGTAAGTTCTAACGTGTGCTGCTTCACCTCCAAAACTTGCACCACAAAAAAAAGGTGTTAAATCTCTTAAAACCATTATTTCATCTTCAAAATGTTAATGGCAATTTCGTGTGCATTGAACCGATTTTTTTAGTAGCAACATTATTTCTTGAATTGATCTTGGTTTTAATAGAAATCAGAATTTTGACTACAATCAGCATATACTATTGTTGAGAAATTTTGATTAAATAAATGAATAAGAAAACTAAAATTATATGGGGACATGTGTTTTGCAGGGCCGGCCCAAGGGTGGGCCGAGCAGGCCAACCGGACCGGCCCCAATATATATTTGAAAGAGCCCAACTTTTTTATATTATACATATATATGTAGTATTTTTCTACTCCCTCCATTTTTAAAAACTCTTTCTTTTTTATTTTTTTTACTTCCAACAAAACACTTCCACTTTCTATTAAAAAACCACTTTTACCCTTACTTTTTCATACCCTACTTATCACATCATATTTTTTCTCTAATACTCAATCCATCACATCAAGGGCAAAATTGGAAGTCAACTATAATTTATCACTTCCTTATTTTTACACAAAGTCAAAATAGGAACACTTTTAAAAAACGGAGGGGAGTATAATAAAACTAAAATCAAATTGGCCTAGAGTGAGGTTCAAACTTATGTGGGATGGTGTGTCATAGAGTTCTCCACCAACTTGAGCAACCTATCATGTTGTGCCATATGTCGCGCATAATGTAATATATATTTAATGTATTGATTGAATAAAACTAATATTCCTTCCGTTCCACAAAATCCTTCTGGTTTTGACTTTGGAGAAAAATAAGGAAAGTGTAATTTTGGTTTACTTTCCAATTTTGCCCCTAATGTGATGGAAAAAGTAAAATGTGATAATTTAATTATTAGTGAAAAAATATGATGTGATAGGTAGGGTATGAAAAGGTAGGGGTAAAAGTGGTTTTTTAATAGAAAGTGGAAGTGTTTTGTGGAAAGCAAAAAAAACGTAAGAGAAAGAGTTTTGTGGAACGGAGGGAGTAATTATTTAGAAAAAAGAAACAAAACTAGTATCTAATACACTTCTTTAATAAACTTAGAAAAATAGTTTAAAAAATAAATAAACAAAATTATTTATGTTATATTAAAAAAATTAATATGAATTATACCGAAAAAATATTTTATCTCAAAACAAAAAATACATAAACTTTTTGTCATCAATAAAAATTAAGAAATATTTTGTAATTATACCTTAATATATTAAAATTATTTTTTCTTCTTTTTCTCATTCTAATCAACTAAATATAAGTGTAAAGTGTTGCATACGAATTTGGGAGTATTATATAAAAAACATTACCTAGCCTTTACTTTTTTTTTGAATATGAGTATTGCCTTACTATAATAGTTTTATTAGATACTTATTATTTATCTTTGATACTAATTAAAAATAATACAAATAGAAAACTGAGAATGTGACGGCATATGCAAGATGATATTGAAGATTAGTTAATGGAAGAGTGAAAACACAAATATAATATCTAATAATATAATATTAATCATTGACTCACTAGCTCGTCCGAGTCGACGTCTGTCCAATTTTTAAGACAATTGTTTGAAAAGGTAAGTATTTATAAACTCTTTATTATAATATCGTATGTCATTTATTTATTTAAATATAATTAGCTTATTCACTTAAATCCGTTAAGACATTAGAAATAAGATCTTTAGGGCCTCTTTTTCTGTCTTGACCCAGGCCATTGAGTTCTCAGGGCCGGCCCTGCATGCATGAGTGGTCTTTTCTTGTTTTCTTCTTGCATGGGATTCTTTCTCTC